CACACAGTGGAATTTTTAGACACATTAATATAGATGGCCCTCCGGGCAGTCCTGGCTCTGGCCGTGTAAATGTTATTGCGTGAATTTCACCATCTTATTTAAAAGTCAACGTGTCAATTCATCCCGTGCACAAGCTTTGTTGCATTAAACACTTGATAGATCGACACATCAGACTCTTACAAAATCATCTGTCCTGTTTATATAAACGACATATCGCTTAACGACATGTAATAGAGCTTAGAGTGTGGTGGCACCCAGATTTCGACCAATTTCCAAAAATTGCCTGATTCGACGAAAATACCATTATTGCAAAAAGTCTAATTTAGGGGTTTGGGGTACATGAATGATATTGTTTCATTTTTAAATGGGCATTTTTCAGTCCGAGCTATCAGTAACTAAACACGCTAATGATAGATTGGCATAGTCATGTTCAAATGGACCGGACAATTACCGCCGTGAGGATCGCTATGAACGACCTCGTGAAGACAGACCTCGGGATGATCAGTACAACAGGGATGACCGGTACAACAGGGAGGATCGTGCTCCATACCGCCGCGACTGCTCCAGATCACCGCCTGCCCGTCGCGCTGATTACGACGATCGTCGCCCCAGGTCTCCGCCCGCCAGGAGGGAGGATGATAGAAGGCCTGCAGGGTACAATTATGACCGTTATGACCAGCGGGGAGGTTATTATGACAGAGCGCCTGATTATGATTATGACCGACGCAGGGACGATTATGATAGACCCCCACGTGCTAGGGATGACAGAAGACGCGACGAGAAGGATGGGCACGCCTTCGACGAAAGGCCCACTAGGAACGGAGATGGCAGTTGGGCACGCTAAAATTGCGCATGGTTTTCGGGACATTGGCCTTGACAGGAAATGGACAACGTCCATCATTTGGTTTTTCCTTCTCGAATCTATTGGTCTTGGTCTCCACGAAAAATTGGCATTGACGTATATGCGAGCGGAGTGTACTTTTCTACATGGTCTATCCCGTTGGTCCTTGCCGCGAAGCCTTTAAGCTTTGAAGATCCAATGCGGAACCCTGACGGGTAGACATATTTCCTGCTGGTCAGGATGCTCGCAACACGTCAAACACGGCACAGAAGGTCTTCGAACAATTTCCCAATCTGTCGGAGCTCCACACATTATCTAATAACACTGCAATGCCAAACTAGATATTTAACGAAGAGGTTAGTGTAATAATCATATGTAATGAAGGGCTTACTTCATTGTACATGTCCAACAAGATGTTGCGACTAGAGTCTGTTGTCGAGTTTTAAATGTTTTGAACGCCGCCAGGGCCTCCTTCGAGCAATGGCTAGGCTCGGGCAACGGCTGACCAGTACGTGCTTCATAAACAGAGCGGGCAAAAGCACCTTTATATTTTTTGCCTCCACGTTGTTGACCGATAATCTTCCAATCCGATGCAAACTTGATGGCCTCCAACTGTCTTAATATTAAGCTTAACAAGGAACCTCCATCCGCTGCTCGCTGAGCGGACACCAGGATCTGGACGGCATATAAATGCTTCAAAAAAATGTGTTAGAGCTTCTCACAGACCTCTTCCCGATGTTTGAGGCGCTCTTGCAAGGATACGTCCCTCAGCTCTTGGCATGAGTTCACAAAATTGCTGTGATTATGCAAATCTGAAGCGTAACGATGGAATGAAGCATTCTGGAAGATATAATTAGTCCATCACGATCACTAACACACACATATAAATACTCACCCAATCATAATCGGCTGAGCTAGAATATCCCCTATACAATTTTATGAAACCATCATCCTCAACTTTACGATGGGTCCCATAGATGTCTGAGTGAAGGTTGGACAGAAGCTCGGAGGGACTGATAGAAGAATGCCCAACACGAGCTAATATGTCGTCTGCATGATCCCTTATGGCGCGAGCTGATTTTTCAGCTGGAGTCTCGATGGCGTCCTAGACAAATTATACCAATAGTACAGCAAGAAGGATTCAGCAATTAAGATCACGTACGCTTTCCCTGGGAGTGTTTGGACCGAAAAAATCGTCGTCACTGTCCCCAGCCTCGTCCTCGTCCAGTAAGTCGTCCAAGGTAGTTAATATATTAACACAAACAGATCTTAATTTATCACAGGCCGTGTAGACGTCAGCGTCTCCCAAACGATCGTCATCCCAACTAGAGGTGACCTCCTAGATTTGCTGCAGTGAACTGTGTACAGTAGATATCGTGTTGATATTCATGATAGGGGAACTTAAAGGGTGAATCGCCAATAAACTCTCAAAGCCACCGTATCAGGATTGTGATCAATTATTTGGGTTTGATATTCGAAACAAGTGAGCATGTCTCACGCCACAGTTTCGCATGGCGGATCCATAGTGAACCGGAGTCAATAGATTTTTGACAACTTTAGTTGCAGTAGTTGAGTTGAAGAATTTTTCATTGTTTGATTGATCTTGCAACCAAATGTTCTCAGTTTATATTCTATTCCGAAGCGTGTACCCAGACGGTGAAAAGCCTTGTTGATAGCCACAGTGTGACGCAAAGGTCAATCACATGCCCGGGCCGGGAAAAGTTTGCATGTCACGGGTCGAATTATCGATCTTGAGACCTGGTCTGGTAAACCAGAGCCAGGAATATTGATCTCACCATGATGTTTTTCCGTTCATTGATGGTGGTGCTCAAATCCCATGCTCCCTTGCTCTTCATCTGTTGATCAAGAAGAAATCTACCCAGCTGTCAGTATTTCATGTTTTTCTCTAACTTGATATCAACATATGCAGGTTTAAATTGGCTGAAATAATAC